CTTTTCCCAGACCAATGTCCCAAAGTGTTTTTCTTATGTTTTCTTCTAGTAGTTTTATAGTTTTGGGTTACATTTAGGTCTTTGATCCATTTTGTTTTTTTTTTTTTTTTTGCATGGAGTGAGAGGTGGCAGCCTAGTTTAATTCTTCTGCATGTGGATATCCAGTTTTCCCAGCACCACTTATTGAAGAGCCTTTCATTTCCCCCAGTGCATGTTCTTGGCACCTTTGTCAAAAATCAGTTGGTTGTGGATACATGGATTAATTTCTGGGTTCTCTATTCTGTTCCATTGGTCTATGTGTCTGTTTTTACGCTGGTAACATGCTGTTTTGGTTACTACAGCTTTGTAGTATATTTTGAGGTCTGGTAGTATGATACCTCTAGCTTTGTTCTTTTTGCTTAGGATTGCTTTGGCAATTTTGGGTCTTTTGTGGTTCCATACAAATTTTAGGATTTGTTTTATATTTCTGTGAAGAATGTCATTGATATTTTGATAGGGATTGCATTGAATCAGTAGATTGCTTTGGGGGTAGTATTGTCATTTTAACAACATTAATTCTTCCAGTGTATGAGCATGGGATTTCTTTCCATTGTACCCTCTTCAGTTTCTTTATCAGTGTTGTAGTTCCCCTTATAGAGGTCTTTCACCTCTTGGTTAAATTTACTCCTAGGTATTTTATTTTATTTTTGTAGCTATTGTAAATAGCCATCTTGATTTCTTTTTCAGCTAGATAGTTGTTTGTGTATAGAAACACTACTAATTTTGTGTTAATATATTAATTTTGTATCCTGCAACTTTACTGAATTCATTTATCAGTTCTAAAGGTTTTTTGGTAGAGTCTTATGTTTTTCTGTATATAAGATGGTGCTGTCTGCAAACTGGGACAGTCTGACTTCCTCCTTTCCAATTTAGATACCCTTTCTTTCTCTTGCCTAATTGCTCTGGCAAGGACTTTAGGACTATGCTGAATAAGAGTAGTGAGAGTGTAGGATCATTCAGTAAGATGTTAGCTGTGGATCTGTCATATATGGCCTTTATTATGTTGAGGTACTCTTACAGCTAATTTTCCTGCATCTATTGAAATGATCAGATGGTTTTTGTCCTTCATTCTATTGGTGGGATGTATGATATTGATTTGAATATGCTGAACCATCCTTGCATTGCTGGGATAAATCCCACATGATCATGGTGTATTATTTTTTTAATGTGTTGTTGGCTTCAGTGCTACTATTTTGTTGAGGGTGATTGTGTTCATCAGGGATATTGGCCTGTAGTTTTCTGTTTTTGTTGTGTCCTTGTCTGGTTTTGGTTTCAGGGTTATGCTGCCTTTCTAGAATAAGTTAAGAAGAATTCCTTCTGCCTCAACTTTTTGAAATGGTTTGAGAATTGATATTAATTCTTCTTTAAAGTTTGTTAGAATTCAGCGGTGAAGGCTTCCAGTCTTAGACTTTTCTTTGTTGGAAAACTTCTTATTACTGATTCAATCTCATTACTGTTATTTTGTCTGTTCAGGTTTTTTATTTCGTCTCGGTTCACTCTTGGTAGGTTTTATGTGTCCAGAAATTTATCTATCTCCTGTAGGTTTTCGAATCTATTGGCATGTACTCGTTCATAGGAATCTCTAATAATGCTTTGTGTTTCTGTGGTATTGCTTGTGGTATCTCCTTTTTTGTTTCTCGTTTTATTTTTTTGGGTCTTCTCTCTTTTTTTCTTAGTCTAGCTAATAGTTTGTCAATTTGTTTATCTTTTCAAAAAACAGCTTTTTGGTTTAAGTCTCAGTTTCATTTATTTCTGCTCTAATCTTTATTATTTCTTTCCTTTCACTAATTTTGGGTCTGGTTTGTTCTTGCCTTTCTAATTCTTGAGGTGCATTTGGTTATTTGAAATTGTTCTAGTTTTTTGATAAGGCATTTATGCTAAAACTTGTCTCTTAATACTACTTTTGCTGTGTCCTACAGGTTTTGGTATGTTGAGTTTCTGTTTTCATTTAAGGAATTTTTAAATTTGATTCTTAATTTCTTCTTCACCAATTGTTGAGTAACATGTTAAATTCCATCAATTTGTGTAGTTTTGAATGTTCTTGTTATTGATGCCCAGTTTTATTTTATTGTGGTCAGATATGATACTTGATACAACTTCAATTTCTAAAACGTTTTTGAGACTTGTTTTGTGCTTTTTAATATATGGCAGATCCTGGAGAATGTCCCATGTGTTGATGAAAAGAATGTGTATACTGCAGCTGTTGGGGGAAATGTTCTGTAAATTGTCTATTAGGCCCATTTGGTCTATCGTGCAGTTTAAATTGATGTTTCCTTTTTGATTTTCTGTCTAGATGATCTGACCAATGTTGAGAGTGGGGTGTTGAAGTCCCCAAAAGTTACTGTATTGGAGTCTACCTCTACCTTAGGTCTAAAAATGTTTGCTTACTGTATCTGGGTGTTCATATATTTACAGTTGTCATATTCTCTTGCTGAATTCATCTTTTTATGTTTTCCTTTGTCCCTTTTTACATCTTTTAACTTGAAGTTTTGTTTTCTCTGATATAAATATAGCTACTCCTGCTCACTTTTGCATGGAGTATCTTTGTCTATCCCTTCACTTTGTTTTTGTGTGTCTTAACAAGATGTTGTGAGTTTCTTATAGGAAGCTTAGAGTTGCGTCTTGTTTTTTTATCCGTTCAGCCAGTCTGTATCTTTTAAATGGGGAATTTAATCCGTTTACATTCAAGGTTATTATTGACAGATAAGGACATATTCCTGTCATTTTATTGATTGTTTTCTGGTCATTTTTTTCCTATGTTCCTCACTTCCTCTCTCATTGTTTATTTTTGCAGTTGGGTGGTTTTCTGTAGTGGTAAGTTTGATTGCTTTCTCTTTCCCCTTTGCCTACGGCTCTAGCAGTGAGTATTATAGTTTCACATATTTTCGTGATGGTGGTTATTGTCTTTGCACTTCCAGATGTAAGACTCTCTTATTTCTTGTGAGGCTGGTCTAGTAGTGATGAATTCCGTTAGCTTTTGCTTGTCTGTGAAAGATTTTATTTCTCTTTTCATTTCTAAAGGACACATTTGCTGGGTGTAATATTCTTGGCTGACAATTTTTTTTTTCTTTGAATACTTTGAGTATGTCATCCCATTCTTTACTGACTTATAAGATCTCTGCTGAGAAATCCACTCTACATCTAATGAAGATTCCCTTATATGTGACTTGGTGCTTTTCTCTTGCTGCTTTTAAAATTCTTTGTCTTTCACTTTTAACAATTTAACTATAATGTGCCTTGGAGAGGACCTGTTTGGGTTGAGTCTATTTGGGGTTCTTTGAGCTCCCTGGACCTTGATGTCCATTTCTATCCCAAGACTTGGGAAGTTTTCTGCTATGATTTCATTAAATATGTTTTCCTGACATTTTCCCTTCTCCTCTGGAATGTCTGTAATACAAATACTTGTTTGCTTATTGGTGGCTCTCAGTTGTGTTTTTAATTTCATTCATTGAATGCTTCAGCTCTAAGATTTGTTTGGTTCTTGTTTCTCATTCAAATCATGAATTGTTTTCCTCATTTTGTTGAATTATCTGTATGCTGTTGTATTTCAGAGTTTCCTTAAGATTATTTTGAATTCTTTTTCTTGCATTTCCATATATTTCCTTGTCATTATGGTCTGTTACTGGGGAATTATTGTTTTCCTTTGAAGGGGACATGTTTCCTGGCTTTTTCATAGTTGTGTCCTTACACCGATTTCTATGCACCTGGTAGAAAAGTCTCCTATTACTAGTTTTATGGAGTATGTTTAGGAGGGAGACTTATTTGTATGAATAGGTCTTGGGTTGTCAGAGGTACATTGGCCTTGGTTCTAGTAGATGCAGTAGTGAGTCTTTTGTGTTGTTTCTTCAGCTACAATCCACATTTGTGGCATTTGCAAGTTTTTTAGTGGCCTGGGCTGAGAGCGTGGGGATGGTGGGGTGGCTTTGCCAGGGCTCAGTTTGCCAGGCTGTTTCTAAGGGCAGGTGTGCATGCATGCATACAGTCGGTGCCAACTTAGGGTCTGGCTCTCTGGGGCCACAGAGAGTTGTTACTCTGGTTGGGAGCATGGGCACACAAGTTGTGTCGCTGACCTGGGGGCATGTCTGCTAGGGGGGAAGGTTCTCAGGCCCAGGATGTAGCTGCTCAGTTGGCCTGAGGGCGTGTTTGCTAGGGGTGGCCCAAAGGGCTGTTTCTTAAGCCCAGGATGTGGGCGCTTGGCTGGCCTGGGGGTGTGCTTACCAGGAGTGGCCTGCAAGACTTTGTCAGGACCTCACTGGAGGAGCAGGACCATTGGGCAGGCCAGGGGCATGTCTATAGGGGCTGTTTCTCAGGTCCTGAGCATGGACACATGGCCAGTCTGCAGGCGGCAGGGGGGATACGGGGAGTGCATATCCATTGTTATGAGATTCAGGGGCCTCTGCTACTCAGGGGAAGGTGTGCAGCAGTTTGACGAACCCTCAAAGGCAGGTTCCCCTGGATGGGACTGGCGGACTGTTCCTCTGGCTGGAAGTGCAGCAGCGGGGGTTGGTTTTCCTGCTGTGCAGGATCAGTCACAGCTGATCCTGGATCCAAGCTCCACACAGCGGAGTTGGGCATTCAGCCACCCACGTGGACCTCGCATGATGAAGATGGAGCTCCAGTGTTGAAAAGTGCAGTGTCTACTGGCTCCCAGAGGAGGGCTCACTCCGAGGTGGCTCTGGTCTCACGATGGCACAGTGCCACAGCAGCTTGGCTCACAGAGGGTGGTGGGGGTGAGGAGTGCGTGCCTTGTGCTCCTAACCAGGGCAGTGCAGCTGCAGGAACTGCTGGCAGCTCTCCAAGCTGGGCTCGGGGCTTGTGAAGACTGTGGGACCCTCCTGCAGTAAGGACAGCAGGTGTTTGTGGTGGCACTGGGCTGGCAGGGATCGTCTGCTCACCTTTTCCCAGAATAAACCAACTTTAATTTAGCTTTTAACATCAGTTGCGATTTTATTTTCTCATAGGTGTCATCTTTAAGAAATGAAAAACGAGGCTCATCGTATCTCATCTCTGCCCCAGAGGGTGGTTCAGTGGAATTTGTGGACCAGCATTCTCAGGGCACAGGAGCGTATTACATGGAAACCTACTTAAAAAAGAAGCGAGTGTACTAAATTGAGCTCTCTCCTTATCACCTCCTAAGGTTCTCTGCAGTATCTCTGCTGTTCATCGCTGCCTTAACTATATTCAAACTAGCCATATCCTTTAAATACGGGTTTATCATTTCCCAGAAGGAACTGTGTTGTGCAGCAGGCAGAATTGCCAAATAGAAAATAGCAATAAGAGACATCAATTGAGGACATTTTCCACTAGAATTAGATGCATCTTAATTAGTGTGTTATTAACTTACAATCCATTGGAGAAACTAACAATGTTCCAATATTTCTTGTTTTAGGACCGGGAATAATTTTGACACCACCATGTATAAAAGTTTGAAGCAATAAATGGGAAACAGTCTTGTTTCCTGAGCCTTAGAAGAATGCGTTTCTTGTAAGCCAATGTGCATTTCCATTTACTTTCCTTATAGATTTTTAGGACTTTTCCTAGAACTACAAGGGTGCAAGTACCAAATGTGGTGATAGTAATGTTAAAAAAGATGCTCTACCTGCAAACTCAATTAGTACTCCCACACCAGCCATGCAATATTAAACGCAACAACAGAGTGATAGCGATGTCCAAAGTATACGTTACTACAGATGCTTTACTTTTAAGATGTTGTACACCGTTTATACCTTTTATGAAAAACACAAGGTATTTTAAGAAAAATAGCTTTGGTGGTTATACAGGGGTTGGCACACTACACTCTGGGGCCAAATTTGGTCTACCACCCATTTTTGTGCTGCCTGCAAGCTAAAAACAGTATTTACATTTTTAAATGGTTGGAAGAAAAAGGAAAAGTTATGACATGAAATTTATACGAAATTCAGCTTTCAGTGTCCATGAATAACGTTTTATTGGAACAGCCAGGCTCATCCACGTGGGCGTTGTCTGTGGCACTTTTGTGCTACAGTGGCAGAAAAGTAGCTTCGACAGAGACCCCCCCCCGCCGGGCCTGCAAAGCCTAAAATATTAATATTTACTCTCTGGTCCTTCGTAGAGAAAGTTTGCTGACCCCTGATCTAATAGCACTAATTCCCTATTCCTTTTATTTCACCTAAAGACAGACTTTTAATCTTTGAGACAGACTTGTAATGGCAAGGAACACAGGTTTCTGTGCTTCTCACAGCAGCCTAGTGATAATCTCGTTAACAGAATGGGGCCTACTTTGATTACCACATGTCCCAGTTCCACAATATAGTAAAGCAGTCAGTGCTGCCCTTTGTGAAGGAGTCTCATGGAATAACAGTATTTACAACCATTTTGAGCTACTAAGCTGTACCTCACTCTCTGCTTTGTCTCACGTCCTTTGGTAGTGTTAGGCTGAAAAATATCAGCTCTTTAACCCAATTTACTTCCGAAAGAATTTTTGTCTTTATTGAATATGACTTTTGACATCACCATTTCTTGAAGACCTTGGTATTAAATGCATGAGAAACCTTTTGCCATCAAGTTTGTTCATTGTTATGAGACTGTAATTGACAATAAGGAATATGGGGTCTCAATGACTCTAGTCTTTTTTTTTGAAATCAGATCATTAACTATCTTGTCACTTGGGGGACTTTTTTTTGACTATGATATAGATACCGTTTTAATTGTGAAGTTTAGAATTGGTATATATGTTGTATGCTTTGTAAAGAATTTTACTTTGTCTAATTTATTGCATATACTCGCTTCTGTTGGGAAAGGACAGCTAGAAAGTATAATTTCTAAGAAGCATACTACCTATAAATGGCTGATCAAAATTAGGCATCAGTTATACGGCAGATGACTAATGGCTTGCCCGTGCCCTGCACTTCTCCTTCCCATTGCACTCAGCCTCCCCCTCCACTATAGTACAAACAGAAGAAAGGGAAGATGGTGAATTTGTACACCAGAGCTGCAAAGTGGAAGCAGGAAGAGGTTGAAGGAACTAAAGCAAAGGTGTCTGTCTGGATTCCAGCACGTGCGGATATGCCATCCATGCTGGCCTGCGCCCCATCATCGGACAGGACAGAGAAGCGCACAGCAAGTGGTGTTAGTAGTAAGGGCCATTTCCAATCTCCTCCTCCCCCAAAAAATCTATACTGTTATTTTTCTATGTAAGCAAATTGTTTGAAATGCTTTGAAATCTTACTATTAAAAGGCATATGCACGTAAAGTCTTTAGTATATTTATTTGTATAAAGAGTAAACAAAGTGCATATAGAGTGGCCACAGGTTTGACACAGAGACCTTGGTGATATAGGGCTATTGTACAAATTTAAATGGCAAGTTTATCACTGCCATTGCCTCAATCATGAACTCTTTTTTGGGCTCAACAGGTGAAAAGTAATGGTATCAACCAGATACTAGACAGCATTAACAAAAATTTTTTTCAGACTCTTGGTCAAAAAGATCTTTCTTTATGGTTCACACTGAATCAGAGGCTAAACATTTTTGATTACCGAGCTACACCTCCAAGCAAACTGAAAACTGTCTAGCAGATCCTGAACTCCGAAGTACCTCCAGCTGGGTCTTTTCTTTCAAGTTTTGCACCATAGGGTGATGGTCAAAATAGTGATCAACCCTTGCAGATGGGTGGTAAGTACTGAAACACTCTAAGAACGGTGTAACGTAGGTGGTATATATTCTGACTGATTGCATACAGCATTCAAAAACCACTGCTGGAATAGCTTGCCCCAAAGTGGTAGAGCTATAAAAGGATATACACTGACGTTTCTTAAAAGCATGTGTAATAGCATCCAGGTTCTGGGAATCAGTCCTGATTAAAGGTACACTGCTTAGGAAAGCACTGGCACAGGCTTCTTAGTTCTCAAGAATTAACATGCAGCAAAGATAGTCCACAGCTGTCCCCCTGTATGTAACCAGTTTTCTCAAAAATGGGTACCAGTGGTCACCCAAGGGAACAGGAGCTAAGCCACTGGAGAAACAACTCAAAATTTAAGTCCTACAGGTGACAGAATACAATCATTTTTGTATAGAAACAACAGTATACTAACTGGTATCTAATATTTTAAGAATGTATGGCCTATCACTAGATTGGGAAATTTGAAGGCAGGTTAGGGTATTGGTTAAGACATCCATCTTTATCTATGATTAATGTGCCAGGAAAACATTTCAGAGCAACTGGGAAAAGCAGTCATCTTGAGACATTACTTTGGTCAACTCTTCCTGTTTTCAAAAAGTCCCATCCTAGTATGCAGTTGTGATGGTAAGCTAGCAGATGAAATGGTGGTATACTCTTTCCAAAAGGAGGAGTGCTTAAGTGCTTTCAAATATTTTGGTTGTCATTATTTGTCACGAAGTTACTGGTACCAAATTTAAAGAGGAAGTCCTTACACATATTAAGCACCACAGTGTGCCGCATATGTGCATACATGCTCAAGTGTTTGAGTGATTTCTCTTTTAGACGGAATACCATTAACATTAAAAAAGTTTTTTTGAATAGCTTGGGTATTTGTTGGGGGAGGAGGACTTGACAAACTGGAATTTAAATGTTATTGATGCTACTTATTTTAAAAGTGCTTCAAATCCTTCAATAAGGTTCTGAAAGGTTGTCCGATTGGATGGTTGGAATTCCCAGCATTTTCTCATAAGTTGATAAACCTATAAAAAGAAAAACAGTAAAAAATGTTAGAAACATCAATAGCAAGAAAATAACTTTGTTCTTTAATAAGACTAGAAAACGAGTATTTGAATAATTTAAACAGAAGATATGATACAACTATAATTCCATAAATATTTCAGCATTTGAGGTCATGGGTTGAATGACCTTCAAGAGAAAATCCAGGTCATTACTGTAAACCAGTTACAGAGTGAAGCTGAATCTCAGTTTAGACTTGAACTTTCCACTCTGGGTGCCTCATTCTTTCACTCATACTATTCCATAAAACTAATGGCATTTATAATACTTATTCAATGAGTGGGATAAACTTACAAAAATGCAGTTATATGTATTTGTCACAATAAGGCTATACCGAGACAAGCTCCTTTGGGGCAAGAAAGTGGATAAACACTGAGGTCCCTACTTTTGGAGGAAACCCTTGCTTTGAATATAACTGGTGGCTATCATCTACCCCAGTTACCAGATGATGATTCCTCAGATATCTGAAACTCAGCTTCAGGAAACTACCACAAAAGAGTTTCCTACTTCACTTCACTGGTCTCCCCCTCCCTTCCCCATTGCTGGATAACTCAAGCTGTGAAAACATTATAAAATTGAGTTTTATTACAGTGAAGTGGCCATAAATACCTCATCTGGACAGTTGGGTGGACATGGCAGACGTTTTCCCTCTTTTAATGTATTCACAAGTCTTGTGACTGTCATCTGGCCATGAGTTGGGCCGATCATTTTCAGGAACAACTATGTAAAATAGAACCAATGTTTTACTTTGTACGTATTTACATAAAAACCAAATAAAGTAGAACTGACTGGAAACTGAAGTAACAATAAAAAGGCTTTTCAACGAAAATCCAAAATCCTTATTAGCTCTCAGCGATCTGTCTGTAATCAGTGTCTCAGACTCTACCAACCAGTCCCTCTGCGGACCAAGGAGTCTGTTCCAGAAAAGATGATCTCATTAGAGGTAAATGAGGCACAGAGAAGGCCCAACCCAGTGCTGCCCCACTCGACTTACACAAGACACGATCCATGAGGTCAGGGTCATCCACAGAACTCTGGGCTCCTTGTGAAATCAGGACTTGAGAGACCCACAGATCTTTGTCCAGTAACAAGCCACGTTAAATGGAGAAGTGACACTGCCTTTCCGTTATAACACATCAATTGGACCCCATTTAAAAAACAAACTTATGAAACAGAGGGGTGGACACATTTTAATCGGGTGCTAGATTCAAATGGAGAGACGAAAGAGACTTACAGCCATGGGACTAGAATCTGAGTCACAGTAAGTGAGCAGTTCATGCAGAGTCACTCCGAAAGACCAGACGTCAGAGGCGATGTAGAATTTACACTGAATTAGGCATTCTGGAGCATACCTAAAAGAAAGCAGAACATGAAACTTCACTTCCTGGGAAGGATATTCCAACACACTAGAATAACTCTGAAATATCACCTCTGTGGTTTTTCTTAGAATTTAATATTCAAAGTCTCTTAAGTGTGTATTATTTTTTTTTTTTTGAGACAGAGTCTGACTGTGTTGCCCGGGCTAGAGTGCTGTGGTGTCCTAGCTCACAGCAACCTCAAACTCCTGGGCTCAAGCGATCCTACTGCCTCAGCCTCCCGAGTAGCTGGGAGTACAGGCATGCGCCACCATGCCCAGCTAATTTTTTCTATATATTTTTAGTTGTCCGATTAATTTCTTTGTATTTTTAGTAGAGACGGGGTCTCGCTCTTGCTTAGGCTGGTTTTGAACTCCTGAGCTCAAACAATCCGCCCGCCTCAGCCCCCCAGAGTGCTAGGATTACAGGCGTGAGCCACCACGCCCGGCCCTTAAGTGTGTATTATGTGAGTCACATATATGCTGCTTACGGTTCACACCTGACATACAGGAGGATCTGCTTTACGGGCTCTCGGAAGAGCATTATTTGCCCCAAAATAATCAGGCAAGCTTGTGCTTTTCATTTCCCTGAGCATGTGCTCTCCACGTGGAGGGGGGGCCCCATGAAGACAAGCCCCAGGTCTGATTTGCCTGCTCAACCTCTTCCAGCATTTATTTTTGGTGAATGATATCCAATTGCCCAAGCCAAAAATCAAGGCATTCCTTACCCAGTTTCCTGAATACGCCTGAACCTCATGCCTTCTTCCAATTACCTCTATAAGCTCCATGCATCTTTCAGGTTTCATCTGAACACTACGGCCTTCCAGAAAACCAAGCCCGAACCCTTCTATGCTGCTTGTTCCACAAAATTGGCTGTCTCGCCCACGAGACCGTCAACTCGGTCTGCTTGTTCACCACCTCTCCACTACCTGGCAGCAAGCAGGACCCTGATACATATTTTCTGAATGAATGAATGAAGGCTTGGGCTCCACAGGTGGGAGAGGTCTGTGTGTGTGTCCAGGCAAGATGCACCAAGGAGGTGCTCCATCAGTTTTGCAGGGGGTGGACTGAGGAATCAGGCCCACTGTCACCCCTGCCCCACCCCCTCCTCCTGCCTGCCCTCCAGCCTCCCTCTGCATGGATGTGTTCAAGACAGGGACCTGGCTACTCCACCTGCCCACAGTTTAAGAACCGTGTCAGAGGAGTGCCCCATCTGGGAAGCTGGGGATGCTGAGCTGGTGCCAAGATTTCTCCCATTCCTTTGAAGATGGTGTCACATAAAGCTCAGGCATTTGTGTGGGCAGCTTTCAGTGAAACAGCCTAACAGGTGTTTCTGAAAGGGAAATATCAATCAATTGCAAATGTTCTAAATCCTCTCTAACTTTGACTCAGGCCAGAGGAGTAAGAGACATTTAACACAGCCAGAAAGAGCCTATCGAAACCAAATCTGCACAAACTGTGATTGTATTAAAAAAAACAAAGTGTAAACCCTAGGAAGCATTGATGAAATCTTAACTGTTTGATTCAGTTACCAAAACACAGGGCTGTCCCGGTCGTCCTTAACTGTGTAATACTCCTTATCAGTTTCAATTGCTTTAGTTAAACCAAAGTCTCCAATTTTCACTTGGTGTTCACTCTCAACAAGGACATTTCTCGCTGCTAAGTCCCGGTGAACGTATTGCCGAGAACCCAAATAGTCCATGCCCTATGGGAAAGAAGTAAAGGTCAAGCGCATTGCTAAAGTCACTTTGGATCATATTTTGCATCTATCACTTCATAATAAAAAAACAGAAATTCATTTCATTCATATATCACTGACAATTTTGGGGAGTTTGACTTTTATGCAATAATAAGACCAAACTGATTCAAAGAAATACACATTAAAGGAGCCATACTTAACAAATCCATTCACTTTCTCAGTGGAGGCTAATTTTTCATCCAAATAATGCAGAGCAAAATATACTCAATACAAGTATCATAAACTTTCCCACTTGGGGTCTAATTACAAACCAATTACCCAGGGCAGAGTGCCTGATGTTTTAATCTGTAACATGCTTTTTCTTTTACCTTACAAATCTGAACGGCATACTTTAGCTGCTGTTTGAGGTTAATTTTGTTCTTATTCTTTGGAAGATATTCCTTAAGACTTCCCGAAGGCAGAA